GTGTCTGCCTTCTCCAGCTTCTCACTCCAATCTCCCTCAGATCTTCCTGTACATCGTCCAGATATCTGAGTTTAGGTCGCCCCCTTCTTCTTCTTCCGACCGGCCTGTTTAGCATAGTTATTTTAGTGGGATTACTCTCATCCATCCGCATAAAGTGGCCCACCCACCTTAGGCGGTTTATTTTGATGGTCTTCACAATATCTGCATCACCAAAAAGTCTACAGAGTTCAAAGTTATATCGCCTTCTCCACAGACCCTGTTCGTTTACTCCGCCATATATGGTCCTCAATACTTTTCTTTCAAAGACTCGTAGTAACTCTTCATCTCGGGTCGCCATTGCCCATGGTTCCGATCCATATGTGAGCACTGGCGTATTATTGTTTTATAAAGTTTGCACTTTGTTGCTATTGACATACTTCTCGCTCTTAGTTGAGGGCCCAGGCCAAAATAACAGCGGTTAGCCACGCATATTCTTTTTTTTTTATCTCGTTGGATGTGTTATTTTTGTAGTCTACCAGTGATCCTAAGTTGCAGAATTCTTCTACCATTTCTATCGTTTCGTGTTGCACCTCTAAGTTATTTTGTTGAATTCTTGTTGGCCGGCATATATTTAGTTTTCTGGATGTTAATCAGAAGTCCGATGTTTTCTGCGGCATTTTTAATACTTGTGAAAGCCTCCACTGCTTTATTTTGGGTTCTTCCAATTATGACGATATCATCAGCGTATGCCATTATTTGTATACTACGGGTATATATCGTACCTTTTAAGTTTATTCCCGAATCTCTCATAACTTTTTCTAACGCTAGGTTGAACAGCGTGCACGATAGCGCATCTCCCTGGCGCAGTCCTCTGTTGGTTTTAAATGGTTTTGAAACATCCCCTTGTACGCTCACTTTATATTCGACTTTCATAATTGTCATTTTAATTAATTCTACCAAACCTTTTGGTATTCCTAATTCGATCATCGCCGAATATAATTGGGACCTGTCAATAGCATCGTACGCTGCCTTAAAGTCTACGAAGATGTAATGGCAGTCTATGTCGTACTCTGTCGTTTTTTCTAATATTTGTCTGATGGATGATATGTGATCAATGGTAGATTTGTTTTTCAAGAAGCCTCTTTGGTAGGATCCTACTAATTATATTTACTTTAATTATATTTACTAGGACGTAGTCAACTTGATTAATTTCGCTCCCATTCAGAGACTTTCAGTTTTCCCTTTGGATACGTTGAAAATATGTTTTATATTTCAATATTTGTATTTATTATATTTCAATAGTATTTCAGTATTTTTATCAGATAAATCCATGTTCATTTGACATTGAAAGTGGCAACCTGGATTGTCAGAAGTCTATATTGTATATGAAAGTGGTAAATTAGCAGACTTGGCCCTTAAAATAGAGAACCTGGAGAAATGGTGGCCAGGATCAACAAATACGTTATAAATAACGTAACTACGCATTATTTGGATAACAGTGAGGTAACCATCGCTAGCTATGTTCTTGCTATCTTCGTTGTAAAAAAGGTCAACAACTCTGTAATAACTTTTCCTCCTCATTTTGATAGAATCGTATCATTATAACTTCAATCTAAGAAAGGTATAGTCAATTTTATACAAGTTTATGCACGGCAGATAAAATGACGACGAAATCAAACTATTTTAGTGTTAAATCCTCTAACATGCACATGCCGCAAGGCAGTCAAATAAATTTTATCGACCAGAACATCCAATACGTACCGGGTGGTCCAATAAGCCGATCGCTCGGCTATATATCAGAAACTATTCATGTTATAACTTTAGGAGAAAAAATTTCTTAGTAAAAGTGGCCAAGAGAAATCGCTGGAAATATCTTTCAAGTTTCTAGGTTAAAAGCTAGGGGACGTAACCTGTGAAAAAAACTTTGAAAACCAGTTTTTTTAGAAATATGCTCAATTATACCAAGTGTTAATTAAATAAACTAGATAGAGGCCTTAATTCTTCACAAAGTTGTTCAAGTACTTTTTTTTATTTTTCAAATAAAGGGTGGGGGAGAGTGGGGAAGTATTTGTGGATAAATATCTATAACTTTGGATTGGATTCACCGATTTTAACGAAATTAGTGTCATTAGAAAGAGTGTGGATGAGTTAATTTACATCTACTATAAAATAATTGCATTTAGTTTTAATTGTCATAGGTAGAGGGTACTTTTGAATAGAAAAAAATAAAATTAGTTTTTCTTTAAAATGTTTAATGGAAACACCTATTGATTGTAAACTATAATAGAACTGGAATAAATTCGTAACAAAATGGCGCAAACTGCATGTTAATACCTTTTGTCAAACTCGAGATATGAATAAAAAACGCATAAACATAAGTAAGTATAGTATTGACTCACCCTGTATTATAAATAAAATAAAAAATAAGTCAGTAGGTACTTTCAAATTTTTTTATAATAAAAGAATCTTAATGTTGATACCTATTTTGACCATTGATATTTTATATGATTAAAAATAGTTTTTTCGAAAGTGTTATATTATAATCCGAATTGAAGATTGCACTTTTTTCAATAGATATTAATATTGGTATTATCAGTAATTAATTATGAGTACTAATAATCCGTAATGAATATATCAAATGCAGAATTGTATGATATAATTGGAGTTTATTTCGAATGTCACCAAAATGCCGCTATTGCCTCACGTATAATATATTTGAATAATATATCCAGATATCCAAATATCCAGATATAAGATATCCAGATAGGAGACATTATGGCAAAGAAGTATTTGAAAGAAAGAAGAAAGGATTAAGAGAAACTGGTACTTTTCATAGTCCTTGTTTTAAACTATGTAGTAGAGGTATGACCGAAGATAATACAATCAATGTTCTTGCTTTAATTCAACAGAATCCACATATAAGTAGTCGTCAAATCTCTATAGAATTAAACATACCCAAAACTACTGTTCTAAGAATTTTAAAACATCACAGGTTGGTTTTTCATATTCTAAAGTGAACGTTTAGGTCAGAAACTTGGAATTCCCTTTAAACTTTATATTCAACTGTTATTTTAATGTTCCGATAAAAACGGCAACACGGCGCTTTCATCCTTTTATCCGTTTCTTAAAAATACTTCTGCACGATTTATCTTGTGAACCAATTGTAGATTTTTCAAGATTTTTGTAAATATAGTGCTTTCTTTTTCACCAATATTTGTTGTTCTGTTTTTTTTAGACTGCATTCTTATCATGTAGTTCTCCACCAAACTTTACATGAGAGAGATTTTGATGCAAGGCTGGATTACTGCAATTGGATGTTAGGTCTACTAGAAGAACAATCGCGTATCATGTCAAAGATTTTGTGAACAGACAAGGCTACGTTTAATAGTGCGGGTGGTGTTAATCTGCATAATATGCATTATTGGGCTAAAGAAAATCTGCATTGGATACATGAGGTGCAGGTTCAAGGTAGAAGGAGTCTTAATGTTTGGTGTGGTATAGTTGATGGAAAGATCGTTGGTCCATATTTCTTTGATATAACTTTAAAAGGCGAAAATATTTGGATTTTCTGGAAAATCAGTTGCCTGTTTTATTGGAAGATATTTCCTTACAAACAAGAAGAGATATGATATTACAATATGATGGGTGTCCTGCGCACTTTTCCAGATGAGTTCGAGATTATTTGTATGCAAGTTAGCCAAATAAATGGATTGGAAGGGGAATCTCCAGACTTAACATATCTGGACTTTTATCTGTGGGGAAGATTGAATGACGTAGTGTACCAAATTTGACCAACCACGCAAGTCGAGATGAAACAGCGCATTATAAACAGAATAAATAGTATATCAACAGCTGAGATTGAAGCAGCTGTTATGTCTACGCGCGAAAGATTACATCTTTGTGTGAACAATGATGGAAAACAATTTGAACATTTAATTGGACATTAAGTTTTAATGATCGAGATGTTTGTATGATCTTTCACATATTTAATTTTCAGTTATAATAAAGGGTGAGTCAAAAAGTGTAATCTTCAATTCGGATTATAATATAACACTTTCGAAAAAACTATTTTTAATCATATAAAATACCAATGGTCAAAATAGGTATCAACATTAAGATTCTTTTACTATAAAAAAATTTAAAAGTACCTACCGACTTATTTTTTAATTATTTTTAATTTAATTTATAATACAGGGTGAGTCAATGCTATACTTACTTATGTTTATGCGTTTTTATTCATATCTCGAGTTCTACAAAAGCTATTAACATACAGTTTGCGCCATTTTGTTACAACTTTTATCCAGTTCCATTATAATTTATAATAAGTAGATGTTTCCATTAAACATTTTAAAGAAAAATAAATTTTAATTTTTTCTATTCAAAAGTACCCTCTACCCATGACAATTAAAACTAAATTCAATTGTTTTATCGTATATATAAATTAAATTATCCATACTCTTTCTAATGACACTAATTTCTTTAAAATCGGTTGATCCAAACCAAAGTTATAGGTATTTATCTATAAATACTTTCCCACTCTCCCCCACCCTTTATTTGAAATAATAAAAAAAGAGCTTGAACAACTTTGTGCGGAATTTAGGCCTCTTTCTAGTTTACTTATTTAACACTTGGTATAATTGGGCATATTTCACAAAAAACTGGTTTTCAAATTTTTATTCACAGGTTACGCCCCCTAGCGGTTAACCCAGAAACTTGAAAGTTATTTCCAGCGATTTCTCTTGACCAGTTTTACGAAGAAATTTTTTTCTAAAGTTATAACATGAATAGTTTCTGATATATACCCGAGAGATCGGCTTATTGGACCACCCGGTACAAACAGGACAAATTAATTAATTTATGACACCGTAAACAATACACCAAATACCACGACCAGTTATACAATAATCACAAGTATACACTGCCCAACAAATGCAACCAGAGGGAAATCAACAATACTACACACCAAATTACCAAACTTTACTGAGCACTTCCAGACAACAAGATGAAACAAATTTAATTAGATGAAAATAGACAATTACTGGCTCAATCCTCGTACGCCAACTTCAAGCCGGTTTAATTCTTTAAATGAAGAATTCAATGTTGGCAATGAAGAGACACAAGAAAATGTTAAAATACCAAAACCTCCTCCAATATTTATTGCAGGCGTCAATGATACAAAACCACTTAACCTTCTACTAAACAGCATAGCGAAAGAAAATAAAACAATTATAGTTCTAAACGATGACCAAGTAAAAGTTCAAGCCAAAACAATTGAAATATATATCATTATAAAAGCATTAGATGAAAAGAAAACTGAATACCACACATATAAAAAAAGGAGATAAATCATTCAGAGTATTTCTAAGACATCTACATCCAACAACCAACCTATAAGAGGTAAAGGCGTAACTGGAGAGTCAAGGGCATATTGTGAACCAGATCACTATAGTTTATTTTTATGAACGAGAGAGTAATTAGCATAATTTTAACTGGTACCTCCGACCACTCCATGGGCGTGCTCAAGATTAATTGAAAAATTACTTTGAATAATTGTAAAAAATAAATGAATTATTTCAGTGTTATAAAGTGTTATGTGTATGTAAACAAAAGTGACCTCTTTTATCACATACTATATTAGAACTGACTGGCCTACATTAAAAAGGGTTTTAAAAAATTCACATTTTTTTTAATTTTTAAAAATTACAAAAGAGAAAAAGAGTTTTTAAAACCGTCTAAGGTATGTTAAATAGATGAATAAAAATATTAATATAAAACTTACAGCCACTTGTTACAAATCCAAATCAGATTCAGAAGATGAACTTTCAGAACCAAGATTTATAATAACTGGCTCGATCATTTTATCAGTAATATTGTCCAGCTTCCACATTTTTTCCTCTTCTTTAATAGTGTGATTTACTGCCTTTTCCCAGTTTTCAGGTTTTACATTATTTACGGCCTCCAAAAACAACTGTTTAACATCATGAATTTTAAAAGTGGTATTTTTTCTTGAAACTTCACTCTTTATCTGTGCCCATACCAGTTCAATCGGGTTTAATTCACAATGATATGGTGGGTATCTAAGTACTGTCATTCCACGATTTTTGGCAATTTCATCAATTTCGTATTTTTAAAATTTTTCTTTATGAAGGGCACACAACGAATAAAGTTCCTTTCTTATAGATCCGGGATGGTACGTAATATTTTTTGAACTCAGCTAATTCTGCAAGTCTTTTTTTAACCACTTGGTTGTGGGCAGTCCTTCTATAAGTCTGGAGTGATAACTTGCATTATCCATTACTATTACACAGTTCTTAGGAAGAAGATCTATCATTTGTTCGAACCATTCTTGAAAGGCATCAGCGTTCATGTCTTCATGGTAGTCCCCGGTACGAGTTGATTCAAAAGTTAATAAACCACCTTCAACAAAACCGTCTGAACTGCCAATGTGTACTATTATCAGCCTGCGTCCCTTTCCTGATGGTGGGTTTAAACCAGTAGATAATTTATTTACAAAAGCGTGCCTTTGACTTGTAACAGTTTCATTCTGCTAAAATTTATTTGGTGTATGACCCTCGTTGATCCATGTTTCATCAAGATAAAATATTTTTCTTTTTTGGTTTCTCATTTCCTTTATGGTTCTTAGAAAATGTCTTCTCCATATGACAATATCGCTTCTTTCTAATAAAATAGACTTTCTGGGATTCTTTTTCCAGCGGAAGCCTATTTCTTTTAAAAGTTTCCATAACGTACTTCGACTCATTTCTGGGTAATCCTTATCATCTCGAACTGAGACAAGAACTTTATCCAATGTTGGAAATTCTTGTCTAAAGAAGAATTCATGCACTTTCCGTCGAAGTCCTTCTTTAAAATGATATTCTATTTAAAATTTTGGTTTCCCTGGAGCATTACGTGGCATTTGAAAACTACCACATTTATCTTCTTTAATAACTCTGTAAATCGTAGATTTCCCAACACCAAGTGTACTGCTAACTAACTCAACGGTCTCATCAACACTTTCACATAAACGTTTGTCTGTAAATGATTTAAAACAATTAAATAATAATGTTTTTTCATTAACTGTTAAAGGACCTACTTTTCGGCGTTTACACGGCACTTCCAAATTTTCCATAACACTAGTATACACAATAAACTGCACCTTGCAACTGAAGTATCTACTTTTAGTGAACTGTTAAGAATTTTGAATACGCCACTTGGACCTTCCTACAAAATGGAAAAACCCACTATCACATTTTCTGTGGAATAAGTTTAGAAGGTAATTATCTAGTCAATTACTGTCGTAGATTCCTGGAATTAAAGAATTAAATGTTTGATTGTTGAAACCCTTACTTCGTGGAATGCACTCATTTCAGATAACATAAAACGTTTTATTTTATCTAAAGAATTAAACTTTATTTTGCAAATAGGTAGGTACTTATTAAACTTTTATTGGTTATATATAACCAATAAAATAAACATCTTACATTTCTTGCAAATTCATTAGTACCTGTTAACCTCCATCACTCCGACACTGGCAACCTTATTTAGGGATTAGTAACCCTCACAACTATTGTATTCTATTCTGCTCCAACCTTTATACCTGGTGGTCATACTCAATTTAAAATTGTTTTCCTATATACTTCTGTAAACTTGTTGACAAATATCTGTTTTTCATTGAGTCACCCGTATCAACAGTTTAGGGATTTGCATACATAATTTATTGTTTTATTACTCTTACTATAAAAATACACTATAATATACGACATAGACTAACAAAAATTCCACTTCCAATTTTTTTGTGAATTTAAAACCAAGCTCTAACATATATATATATATATATATATATATATATATATATATATATATATATATATATATATATAATATATATATATATATATATGACATAGATTCACTACAAAATGCAAGAGTAAAATTTGAACCACCAAGGCCAGTAGGGATCTAGCACAATGCCAAATATGTCAAAGATATGGACATACAAAGAACTTCTTTGTCCGGCAATAAAGAACTTCTGTGAACACAATCAAACACCCTTTCGCAACTTTTCTTGTAAAAGAATACATACAAGCAAATATAATTGTAGAAGACTAGATATGTTCCATTACTTTCTCTGCGGTTTATTGCCCTCCAAACCATAAAATAACAAGAAGACTTTAAAGAGTTCTTCGACAAATTAGGCAACCGATTTATTTGTGGCGGTGACTATAATGCCAAGCATCAGAGTTAGGGTTCTAGCCTAGATACAACCTGAGAAAGGGAGCTACACAAAGCAATAAACAACAATAATCTAGAAGTAGTAACAACACGAGAACCAACGTACTCGCCAACCGACTTAAATAAAACCTCCGAACTTCTAGACTTTGGCATAACTAAACTAATTAACAAGAACTATATGCATGCTGAGTTACGTTATGAACTATCTTTTGATCATTCTCCAGTTAATATAACACTAAATAAAAAAAAATCCTTAGGAAAAAACGATGTGTATTAAATAACCGAAAAACAAAGTGAAACATCTTAAACCATCTAATGGAGAAGAGACTCCAACTAAACATTCCCCTAAAGACCAACGAAGAAATAAAACATGCTGTAGAACACTTGGCCTATTTTGGACACGTAGTAAGGGGAGACCGATATAATATTCTTCAACTTATTATGATGGGTAAAATCGAAGGACGCAGAGGAATTGGTAGAAAGCAGGCCTCTTGGTTGAAGAATATCAGAGAGTGAACAGGAATAAAGAAAGCTGAGCAACTCTTTAGAATAGCTCGAGACTAAGACAGTTTCGCCATGTTAATCGCCAACATCAAGGGGACTTGATAGGGCACGTTAAGAAGAATAAGAACACTTGGTCATACAACAAGCTGCTTGGATCTCAACAACACCCAGCAACGATGAACTGGAAAGTGAATACTCTTCGATATCTATAAAAGAGAAAATAATCCAGAACATAAAACAACAACAGCAAGCAACTAGATGGCCACAAATAAAAACGCAGCTAAACAATGCTGTAAGGGAGCTAAAAGAAATGATAGCAACGGAAAAGAATCTACAAATCAGTGAATACATAAAAAAACTAGATATAACTGAACAAACAAACTACTCCCTATAGGAGGCTACTCGAAAATTAAAAAGACTAATACAATATACCACTACTAAAAAAAGAGCAGGCGGATAGTTAAAAACACCAAAAGAAAAAGCAGAGACATTTGCAAACCACCTAAAAACTGTATTCATTCCCAATTAAATAACTGTCCCTAACCGAGAGGAAACAATAAACTGAGCACTTTAAGAATCACCAGCTAGAATAACAAGAAAAAATATTTAACAAAAGTGAAATAAAAACCACAATAATTACCCCAAATATTGCAAGAGCTACAAAGAATATACATATGTAACACAATTATTCAATCATGACAATCAGCTATTTCCCACCACAATGAAAAGTAGCTACCACATATCATCCATTTTAAAACAACGTAAACCACGTGAAAGGGTAGAATCATACCGACCCATCAGCCTACTACCAGTGGTCTTCAAAGTTGAAAAACTTTTACAAAACAAAACTAACACCTCTACTAGAGGACAAGGGAATAATTCCAACTCACCAATTTGGATTCAGGCAAAAACATTCTACCATTCAAAAAGTACATAGAATAGTAAACAGAATTAATAAAGACCTCAAGCCATCCAGACATTGCTCCGCCTTGTTCATAGGCATAGGACAAACGTTTGACAAGGTAAGGCACCTGGGGTTGCTCTATAAGCTGAGGAATTGTTTACCTCTAAACTATTACTTACTATTTAACTGGGAATAAGCCACAATTAAAGGTTAAAATACGTTTATTGTCGTTTCAATTTCCACTTCGGAAATCGTTCTCAAAATACAAACAGTAAATTAAACAAATTTTGTTTTTTGTTATTTAGTGAAAAATTCTTCTAATAATTTAATTTTATCTGACTCATTTATATTGACAATTCAGACATACATTATGCATTTTAAAGTAGACTACTTTAAAATGATATTGCCAATATTGTTGAGTTGCGCTCCTGGGACGACTTCACTTATAAGATAGTTCATTGGATTACATGAAATCAACTTTAACTTGAGAATATCTGTAAGCATGTAATTCGTCTTTAAAAAGACAAACATATGCCATGATGACAGTAAAATTCTCCTGTTAGTGATTCCATAGTAAATTATGAGGGAAAAACCAGGAAAAAAACCTCATAATACTATCCCGACATGGTAAGTAATCACCAAATTCTGATTTTATATGTTTATTATTTAATAAACATAAATGATGTATCATATGTTACTGACTTA